GACTATTTTAGCTTACTGTTGGCATGATGCTTAGGCAGGACATTCCCACCCATGGGTTAGCAGCCGTGTGTATTCCCTTTCTCAAGATACTAAGCAAAGCACTTGTTACCATTTCCTGGAATCATTAATTGTGTCTGTTATTTCGTAGGATTGATGAAGAAAACTGTGCTTACTATATCACTTGGGACACACGTGCAGCTTGTGCTGTGAAGCAGCAGGAGGTGGAGGTGGTGAACGGAACAGTTATTGATCCTGCAACTGGGAAAAACTTCTCTTTAGGGGATGTTTATTACAAGTAAGAAAGAAACAAAAAAACCCACAAAACCCAAAAAAAAACATTCCCCCAAAAAACCCCAAAACAGCATAACCCCAACAACAACCAAAAACCACAACACCTTAGTCCTGTAGAACTGTACTGCAAGAAAAGAGAGCTTGGTGCGAATATTCTATGTTGCCTTAACAGTTCTTAGCTGTCAAGTGGAAATAGCACTGAATTCACCTTGTACCAATGACTGACTTAAAAGGCCTGATTAACAGTGTGGCTCACAGCTGGGCTTATAGCTTTGAGCATGTCTGGGTGTACTCAAGACTAGTCTAAAGCATGCACATGCTCACCTTGATGTTACATCTCTTTATTATGGGTTATTGCTCTCTTCCGTAGTGTGTAGACTATGTGTTCAGTGCTAGAGAACTTGATTTTTTTTCACCTAGAGTACTCCTTGGCTTTTTACATAGCACCTTTTTTCCTGCTCAGACGATCAATATTGAAGTAGGAACCCATGCTTCAGAAGCCTTAGAAGTGAGGAAGGACAGCTCTGGAGGAATGATCAAGCATGACTGAACTCAGGAGAGGGAGGGGAAGACCAGCAGTTACACTGACTGTACTACACATTGCACATAATGCTGGTCCAGAATCTCTTATAAACTACTATATTTGACATCAATGCTAGTGTTACAGAAGGAAATCTGCCCATACTAGTGTTATGGGAACAACAAACTCTGCTTGCAGGGCACAAACCATTAGTGTGGAGGATTGGAGTAACTGAGCAGAAGTGTTGTGAATAAACCTTCTGAGCAAACATGGTGATAGCATTACAAGCATAGAGAAAAACAAAAAATCAAACAGGCCTGGATGAAGGAGGAGAGGAAGTCAGGACAAAAATAGAACTCGGTCTAATGTGAGATTAAAGGCAAGTTATATTTGAGCAAGGTCAGTCTTCAAGCGGGTGGCTAGAACAAATAGCTATGAATCTCAAAGTATTCTCACTCTGACCAGCACTGTGAAAGGATGCAATTGTAAATAGTACTTAGGTAATACTTATGGTAGAACTAGTTACCCTTCTGGAGAAGACAGCTAAGCTATGCCATTTATCATAGCTACAGAGCACGCAATATGGTTCTTATGGTCAGTAGGCTAGCTTGTGTATGAGCTGCTGGATCATGCTTTTGTCTCCGGTTTATCTTAATCCTTTCGAGGTATTTATGTGTTCATACACCTATTGAGGGCAATATAACTAGAAAAGTTTGCTTTTTGTGCATTCTTAGAAAAATTATATTTATGCTAAATGTAATCCTCATTTGTAATGTTCAGGGAGGAAGCCTCAGTCTTGTGTCTTTTCTGGTTGCTGAATCAGTCACTCCAGCTTGCTCTGGAATCAACCAGTGGTAGCAGCTACCACTGTTGCCAGCCTTATGTCTTGGAATAACCTAAATCTGTAAGTTTCGACTTAAGGATAGACCTGCCCTCTGTTTCTTCAGGTTGTACACTGCTTCTGGTGACATACGGACAAATGGTGATAAATATGTATATGAAATTCAACTTTCTGGTATAAGAAACTCAAGTTTCTCAGAATGCTCTGGAGCAAACATCTGCCAGGTTAAAACTAATGAACATCGCTTTCGGATAATTGGTTCTGCCAGAAAAGCTAAATATTATGTTGAGGGTAAGTACTTGCTTACTAGCCAGTATTGCTTGATACTCCATGTGAATTGCTTCATCAGAAAATAGTTCTTGATTCACAATATCTGTGCTAATTGATTTCTGTAAAGGTATCCAGAGTCTGTCCAGCAGAATTTAGGTTGTTTTTATTTCTTGTTGTGTAAGCTCAGTTGCAAATGTGTCCTTAGTAGGGTTTGGGCTTGACACTTGTTGAAAGACTGGTAGAAACAATGCAAGATAGAAGACTTGGTCTCCTGTTTTCCTCTGTGTTTGTGCTGCATAAGCAATGATCTCATTTATCTAGCTACTTTCTCTTGTAGCTTCTTGTACTTCTCAGCTTAGCCCGCTGTTCCATAGCGACTGATGGGATCAGCTATGTAAAAGTATAAGCTCATGTGCAGATACTGCAAAGTGTAAGCTGTTACTGCAGAACAAATACATAACTTTCCAGTGTTTAGTGCTAATAGAGTGTTCTAAAGGAAGTAGTAAACTATAAGGTTTTCTTCTTGTTGTAGATGATGACTTGGATGTCATATTTTCATCAGACTCCAGATGTGGTAAAGATAAATCAAAGTTTGTGTCTTCAACCATTTTATTCCACTGCAGTCTACACGTAAAGGAAGGCATCCCTGAATTCCTTCATGAGACAGCAGATTGCCAGTATTTATTTACCTGGTACACATCTGCTGTGTGTCCATTAATGTGAGTAGTTAACCATTTTCTGAAAGCAGCTCTTGTCAGCAGTTCTCAGCTGAAGGGTTTTTTGTATTTGTTCGTCACAATGATTGTGAAAAAATGAAAAGCTAAAAAAGCAGTAGACTCATGGGTAGATGGAATTGGTGTTCATGTATGTAATGTTTAGCACACGACCACCAAATAAAAGCTTGCCAAGTTGATCTGTACAGAGAGCTGCTTTTTTGCATGGGAAATGGACAGGCATGCAATATTGTTGTTCTCACTAAGTAAAACCTACTGTAGCTAACAGAATATGCTGTTTCATGTTACTGAGAGGAGTAGCCAGTATTTGGGTAAGGTTTTTTTGTCCTCCTTGCTTTACTGTCTGGAAAAACTTTAAAGCCACAGTGAAGACTGGCCTTCCCCTCTATCTGCCTAATTCTTCAGGCTGGAGTGAAAATCATTACAGGTTTTAGAGGAACAGTGAGGTATTTCTGCAATTAATTATGATCAACTTATCTACAGATCCAAAAAGGAGTAATGAGGTAACAGTGTTTAAAGCAGAGTGACTGTATCTAGGTGTTTACCAGCATTCTTGACATGTGGGCAGCCTCACTGCGAAGAATGGAGTGACTGCTTCTGTTCACTTTCTGTTTGCTAGCTTGAAAACACAGGGAAATTGTTTATTCTGGTTTAAACAGGCAATTAGCTATTGAGGTCTGTGTAGTGCCATAGTCAGCTGGAAGGTAAATAATTGCTGTAGCTTTTGCAGCTTGCTCAGGTGCAGGTTTCGTTCTAAAATAGCTGCTGCTGTGTAAGCTCTAGAGTGCCTAATCATGCACTTCAGTCTTGACTGTAATCAGTTTTATGCACTGTTGGAAAGCATACCAGGATGTAGGCACAGTACATAAATTTTTATTTTTTCAGTGATTTTTACTTAGAATGAAATCCCCTGAATTCAGTTCTTCATAGCTGTTAGATAGGACTGGCAGGACGGTGTGGCGTGTTTAATTTCTTTGAATCTGCAGTTTCTAATCCAGTTTGATGCAACTGATCAATAGATCTTACTCGTCCTTTTCTTCCCAATCTATGTTATTAGACCGACCAATGATCCAGGAATCAATGAGCACCAGACTGATCAGGAGGCCCAAATACACAAAGGCCTTTCAAGGAGAAGTCAGGCTGTTGGTGCTGTGCTGAGTGTCCTCCTGGTTGTTCTCTCTGCATGCCTTATGATCTTGCTGTTCTACAAAAAAGAGACAAGGTAAGAAATGATTGGGAGGCTTTAGAAGTTTCTTTGGTAGGACTTGGTTTCCTCAGTGAAAGGGAAGTAGAGAACTTTAGAGATTTAAGTTCTGTTTTTCAGTTGGCAGCATCAACTGTCAAACTGGTGGTTTTTCTGAATTCCCCATTACTATCTGAAGGTCCATGTAAAAAGGGCACACAGTTGAGAGTACACAAGTGAATTGGGGTAGTCTCTATTGTGGACAACTGTTAATTAAGGAGGATAAACCAATGTGACAATATTGTTAGTATTTGATATCCCTCTCCTTTTATGGCGTCAAGCTGGAACCATACACAGCAGCAAGGAACAAGTGCAAGTCCTCCTGATTCTCCGCTTTCCAGACAAGTTTGTGGTTTTTTTTTTCCCTTAGACATCAAGGCCAGAGGTGTTCCAGAACAGTCACCCTGAAGCTGTGGTAAGGGGGAAGATGTACATCATCATGGACTGAATTTTGTTAATTGTAGTGGTTCAGGGTCAAGTGTCACTATGCGATAGCTTGCAGCTTGCTTGGTGAAATGCTTTATGTTGATGTTAAAAAATCCAATGAAGAAAAGCAAGGGCTAATAAGGGGGATACAGTCTCGCTAATGCAGTGTTCTTCCCCTTCTTTAGGGAAATGGTAATAAACAAGATAACGAACTGCTGCAGAAGAACATCTGGTGTTTCCTACAAATACACAAAGGTAATAAAGTGGCAAAATCGAAGGTTTTGTGTCTTGTCAAGTTTTTTTTAATATGAAGCTTTTATTAATAAATAAACCCCCCTTAATTCCTAGTTCCTTCAGTGCATGGAAACCATACTGTGTGGCTTCAGGATATCTACACAATATCTACATTTATATTGTGAAATGGGAAAGGAAGATAGAGTTGAGGAAATGAAGAGCAGTCTGTAAATAGCCAAATAACCCATAAAGGTACAGGAAGAGAAAGAATTCTGTTTCAGACATAGTGAAAAGCGATAGTAACAGCATGCTATTGCAGTACTAACTTACGACTAAGTTAAACCCAAGGCCATGAGTGGTGTGGGGTCTGAGAATTGGGGAGATCGGCGTGTGGCAGAGTCTAGAGTGGTATATGGTCTCCTCTTACTTTTTTTCTTTTTTTTTTTCTTCCTTGCAGATAAGCAGTGAAGAAGAAGCTAATGAGAATGAAACAGAGTGGCTTATGGAGGAAATCGCAGCACCAAATCAAAGAACAGCAAAAGGAGGGCAGGAGAATGGTCACATTACTACCAAGTCTGTTACATCTGAAGCCTTTACCTCTCTCCACGTGGATGACCTGGACAGTGAGGATGAGGTGTTAACCATTCCAGATGTAAAGATTCAGACAGGAAGAGGACTAGATAAGAGCAAGCACCCACCAAAGAAGCCACCCAGTCTCGGGAGTGATGATAAAGCTTATTTGCTGAATGGGGAAAAGGAAAGGAAAGCAAAAGCCAAGCCAGGGCAGCAGCAGGCACAGAACTCTACAAATACAGTATCGTTTCATGATGATAGTGATGAGGACTTGTTGAATGTTTAATAACCCCTCTTGTGCCTAATCAAATATATATAGAGAGATTATATATAATGGGACGACATTTCCAACCAAATATGAAGACTTCAGCCTGAAAGGTTTTTTCTGAATTATGCCTTTAACAAGAAACCATTGAAAAGGGAAGAAGAGAAAGATTTCCTGGTTGTTTACAATGATCTGTTCAGTAATGACTGGATTTCTAACATCCAGTTGACTGAGTAACGTTGATTCTCTCTAGCCAGGACACTTTTTTTTTTTTTTTTTTTTTTTTTAAGCCTCAGCATAGATGTTAAATGCTTGCTTAAAAAGGAGAAACCTTTGAAAAGAAATGATTAAGGCTCAGTGAAGCCCCTGGCTCCAGAGACTCAAGTTATCTGACTACTAGCATTTTAACTCCTTGTATTTATTGATTCTCACTACTCAGGTTTGCTTAATAGCAACATGTTCTTCCTGCCGGCAGGGTATTATTCTATGGGTTCACCCATCATAAGACAAGGAAAAATATAACTTTTATGTGTTGGGATGATTTGATGTAAATTTTGGAGCTGGTCTAATTTATCCTGTAAATTTGAATATCCATTCTAATTTAAACAGATCATTGGTTGATTGAAAGGTACAACTCTGTATAGCTTTAGCCTGAAATGGTTGCTGTTCTTTGCATGATATTTTTTTGGTACTGGTCATCTGACTGACTGCATCAGTTTGCCTAAGCAGCTGACAAGCACCCAAATATTTTTTTATTCTCCTAGATGATGGCTGAACTAGGCCGACTGCACGCAGAACAAGAGTTTGCAAGGACAAAGAGGCAGAATTCCTATAATACAATCTGCACTGCCCAGTTTGTCATCACCAAGCAAAGCCCAACAACTAGAGGAGCCCTAGTCGGCACAACATCTCTTTGGTATTAATTACAATAAAAAAAAATTGGGCCAATATTTTTCTGGTAGCCTAAGTTCTATCTGTTATGCTATGGTCCTGGCCATGGTCATTGATCTGAAATGTTGCTGGCAATGAATGCAAGTCAAATTTCCTCTAGTAGTCTGTCTTGCTCTTCTCCAGGTGTTTCCTAAATTAAATTATGGGCAATGATGAGGTTTCAAAGCGTCATACAAGTACATGCATTGGTCAGAACTTTTGGAAACTTTTCATTGTTCCTTTTGGCTGGCATACTCAGTTTTAAGAATGGTTTCTTTTTATAAAAACTCCATTTTGAATCAAAATAGTGTAATATAAAGTATTCAGCAATTTCAATAAAAGATATGAGGTGGGTATTCCAAATACCACATCTCAAGTCTGGAATCTTTCTTAGACTAGTCTGTAATGCTGAGCATCAGCCTGGTGTGATACCCTTTTTTGCTGTGATAGCTAGTATCTTAATCACATCACTCAAAACAAAAACCGATGTTTGATGACAAAGGTCAAAATATAAAGGTAAACCTCAGTGGTGTATTATTTCTTTTATTAGATTTGGGGTTTCTTCTCTTGTATTGTTACCAGTGAAGCTGTAAATAAGTTTGGCCAAAGCTGCATCTTGTCATACTTTTAAAAAAAAAAAAAAAAAAGCATTTTCCATATTTAGCATTAGGTTAATTTGGGGGAATAAGAGGCTTGACAATGCATTTTTAATGCTGTCAGTTACCACTGCAATAGTTCTCTCAATGGATGTTGAAGAATGCTGCTTCCCTTCCCCAAGTCTTCAAGGCTGGCATCTTGGAGTCATTTGATCCACGAAATTCTGCATGAGATGACTTCCCATGTATTCAGGCATAACACTGCATGGTCTCTTTGTTGTGACTGAGGCACTCTGCCTGGGGGTGCTTATCTGAGCAATACCAATGACATATTTCTAATACGCAGCTGAGAGTGGTGAGTGACTTCAGTGTGTAGTCTTAGGAACTATTGCCCAGTCTTTATCTAGGCATTTGTAGGTAGGCTGACTGAATCTTATATTGTTCAGAGCTGGATGCATGACTTGCTTCACCAGACTATTTTTCCAGTAGAATACCCTGCTTAACCATAGGGAGGGAAGTGTTATGAGAATAGTGGGGACCAGACAAGTACATACAAATGGCTGGGCCAGAAGCAGAAACCCTGCCAGTCAACAGCACAGCTCCCTGGGCAGCAAGCCTCTAAGACATTGTTGTGGTTTAATCCCAGCCAGCAACTGAGCACTGTTGATAGCGATATCAGCTGTGGCATGCCATTTGGCTGCCTTTGACTCCAGTTCATACT